GTGGGCGATTTCTGGAAATTTTCTGGGCAGTTTCTGGGCATCTTCAAAGGCTTCAAACTTGATCTTCAAGGCCTCTTTTTGATTCAAAATCAAAACCCTAATTCTACCCAAAACCTAGAATTACAATAATTCTAATCTTGAATAAAATTACAAATAATTTAACCAATGAATAAATATAACCGATCCATGGAACCATATAATTCACGACCAAATCCACCATCCATACATTCATCAACATGAATTAGAATAAACATCCATAAATGCAAGTGCCTACCCATCACATACATACATAATTAAATATCACATATTTAATATATTAATTCTGATTATCAAATAATCGAAGCATAAATTAATATCATCTATAGACCGCTCTGATACCAATTGTTGGTTCCCGAATCGAATTCGGGTGCGGACGGTGGTGGGGAGGCGGATTGTGTATAACAAAAATTTTTATAAAACTTTAGAGATACTCTATAGATTATATTAATTTATGCACGAATAAATTAATCTCATTAATTTACATCAAGAACTCAATCCGAAAAAATACCTGGAAGCCGACTCGGATGATAACTTGAATTCTTTGACCACGAAGAATCCTTACTCCAAGTTTGTGTTTAGAATACCAAAGTCTTCCATGTCAATTCCTTGATTCCACATAGACGTGTGTGTGGGCACACGTGAGACAAAACAGGTTTCTTAAACACTCGAATTTCTACAAACACCAACGCATGCACGATGTGGAATTTTTGGAGAAAAAATATTTTTGCTCTCTTTTTCCTTGAGAAATTTGGCCACACTGTTTTTAGGGCTGAATAATGTTTTAAAAAATTGTATCCACAATTTTCTATCATTCTCATATTTAAAGAGTTGAAGTCAAACTTCTAAACAGAATGAAATCCCTATCTCCAATTTTAAATTTTGAACAAAAAATTCCTTCCCCTTATCTCCAAGGTGGCCGGCCACACCACTAGGGTTTTTCCCTGTGTGTGGCGCCAATAGCTGATAGGGAAGGAAGAGATTTTATCCTTTATCCAGTAGTCCAATTTTAATTCAGATTCAATTTGAATTTAAAGTCAAACTACTCAAATTCAAATTCCAATTTAAGTCAAACTTAAATTAATTTGAATTCTAAATTGAACAACTTATCAAATAAGTTAAAATGGATAAATCTAAATGTGTTCAAATTCAAATTTAAATAATAACATTATTTAAATAATAATTAATTCTCAATTAATTATTTTTTGAGTATTTAATATTAAAATTCCGTAATTCTAAAATTCCCATTTTGCCTTTTGTGTCTAGTAGAATTACAAGGACGACGTGGGAACTTATGGACCTATAATCCTGAGCTCCAATAAAATTAATAATTAATTAAACACTTTAATTAATTAATTA